AAAAATTATATAAATCGATTCAATTAACGATTCTGAACAAACTATTTTCAGGACGTGCGTTATTTAAGTCACATGTTGTATATACGTGTCATAATAAGACTCAAATTATGTGCCACTTTTAAAGTAGTTTTTGCCTGAACATGCCTTAACTGAGGAACTGGTTTTTAGGGCACTGAATTGGCGCTAACTTGACTGGATGATTGACTCGCCCATACATGGGTTGAATGCACATAAAACAACTTAACAACATGCTATCGAGATTGTAAACAGAATTATAATGTATGCGATACTTTATATGCTTGTTACATGTGGTGTGGTGCAGGTAACGGGACATGTTGTTGATTTTTTGCTTAACCCTTAATTGCATAGAATATGTTTGATTATACATTTTTAAATGATTGCATAAAACATTTTTGAGTATAGATTTTCAAATAAGGAAAATATGTAGTATGTACAAAAAGTGTCTCAATTAATTTTTTAAGGGTTAAGTTAATTTAGTAAAAGTATTGCATAAAATTATGTAGCTTTGTGTTGTATAAAAATTTATCACGCAAAAACACAAAGTAGTCACTATAAACCGTTGAGTTCTTTCGACTGTCTGTTGGTTCCATCATCAGGTCGACTCCGAAACAAACTCAGAAGTATTCTTGCAAGCAACCACTCAACTACCGAAGTATATAACAACTTAGTACTAAACGTAAAAAAATAAATACATAAAAGCTATTGTTCTCATTTGCGATCAGAATAGATTTTTATCGCATGATTTGAAAAAAACACTGATTTATTATGATCCCATCACTCAGTAAGTTGCAAAATATACAACATACCATTGGAATTCAATCGAATACATTTCTAGTCATAAATTGTATACGAGATATATTTATGCGTTAAACAAAAGATCTATTCTTAAGTTTTCTAGCACGTAAATAAAAATGTAGGTACTTAACTGATTTATTTATGCCTTGTGTTTGTGGTATTTCATAAAATTTTATGTAGATATCATAAATATATTTATGTGTTAAACATTTATGTAAATGGTCACGCATAAGATCAGAATTAATCAGAAATGAAGTTCTTGAATGAAACCGTATATAAATTCTGTTAAGTCATACTTCAATTGTTTATAAATAAACTGGGAAAATAATGTGCTATTAAATTGTTATAAAGAATATCTATCTCTTGTTTTAAAAATAAAAGTACGTCAGACTATAAATGTAGTTTTAACTACAAAATAAGTATAAGCCTGGAGTTACATGCCTTGAAGGCAGCCGTCAATCAAAGTAAAGGTTTTAAGCAAAATATTAACTTAACAAAAAGTTTTTACTTGCGGTTTCGTTATTATACATATTATTATTATATTTCGTAAAATACTGACATTCAGCCTGGTTCCTAAAGGGTTAGGAGTTACCGGGGCTCCGGCTCTATGTAGGATTAGGAACGGTGTGGTTTTTAGTTAGTAAGAGTCTAACAGTCCCTTTCGCCTCACTCACCTAAGCCTGGAGAAGTACCTATATTTAATGATTTTTTACCCTCAAAAGTGCCTGATCTGGTTAAGATTCAGCGCCTATCCCAAAATTAATTAGGAAAAGCCAGGAAGAAAATAAACACCTCCTTAAACCATACTGACGGCCGTTTTCCCAATCATCAGTGCCTTTAGCCAAAAGCCACTTAAGCGCTTGTCTACAGAGAGAATAGAAAACTAAATGTATGGGGATGATACTGACAAGCGTCAAAATTTACGTCAATTCCCTATAATTTGGTTTTCTATTCTACATGTAGACAAGTGCTTAATGACATTGGGCTACAGCTGCAGTTAATTCTTACCTATAGAATAAAATTGACAGTTGACAGCATTTAGTATGGAAGGATTGTCAAATATTGAAAGCTATTTCTCGATAAAAATTTATCTGAGCATTGAAAATTGGCCCTAAGTTGTGTCATTTAAGATACAGAACAGCGTGAAAACGTATGAAACTAGTTATAGTATTAGAATATCGCAATGCACACAAGTACATATAGTTCAGATAACCGCTAAGCCTTCTAGCACCATAGTTAGCAGTTTCACCTTAATTGACTTGTTGGACTTGCGTGATAATAAGCAGTCTATAAATTACTGATTTTCCTATTTTTACTTCAAGTAATCAAGTATCGGTCGTACAATTAATTTGTGATCTTTTTGCTTTAATAATAAGGTTCGCAATTAGATTATGATTTATCTATCCTAAACTTTTGTGCATAGAGAGTATCCTTATTGTTACATTGAACTAATATAATGTCAGACTCTTACTGACTAAAAACCACCCCGCTCCTTCTTCTGCACATCGAGCCGGAGCCCCGGTAACCCATTAAGTTCTCCGCGACTCCGTATCGGCATCAGCCCTATTGGGCTCCATCCGTGGTGGTCTGATGGCTCTTTGATGTGCGCGCGGAACGCTGTTCCTTTCCTTACTAGAATTTTCTCCTGTGTCCTGGGTGCGTTTACCAACATATAATTTCATATGCCTATGACACTCAGACCCGTAACAAAAATTTTTGGATCACACTTAGAGTTGCTACATGCGGGAAGCGAAACGACTACACGTGACGCGATAGCCGGTTGCCTAGCCACCGTGCCAACCGTAAAGTAATAGGGATGATGACAGGTTATGAAAATAAAAAATCTAATTAGTCCGTCAGTTAGGTAATGAAAAAATATTAGACACGTATTTTTTTATTTTGTCGCATCTATAATGAAATGATACTTAGATAAAACGAATCAAAGTTTAGGAGTGGGGCCTAAAACGTCATTTCTACGTATAAAATGTACATAGAAGTGACGTCACGCGACATTTCAAATCAATATAACGTTGAACGTATTCGTTTCTGTAAAATAAAAAATACGTGTGTAATGTTTTAAAATAATTTACCAGACGGACATTAAAATAAAAATTAGTTATCTACCCTATTATAGGACAACATAATTAACTAACAAGCTAACGAACAAGCTACAGCATAAACATATGCCATTTGGACTATCTTCTTGCGAACCCGCTTCAATTATTCCAATCAAACGACAAGGCTCATTATTCTGTTATGATTATTGAACAAGTCGGTGAAATTAATATATCTTTTATAACTTCCGAAACATTTCCAAAAGATATACTTATCGTATTAATGTTTTCCGAAAGCAGTATCAATTAATGTAAAACTGGTTTATGTAAATCCTGATTGAAAGATAACTGTATCTTGTTAACCTTTGCTGGTCATATACATATTTGCAGACGCTATCTTGCTTGTATCATTTGTCAGTAAAGTTTATTGATTTACTAGTTGACCCGGCAAACTTCGTAACACCTAAAAATTTTTTCTCACCTTATAAACCTTCCCTGGACTACCGCGAATATTTCAAAACCAAATTTAGCCAAATCGGTTCAGCTATTTTCGTGTTTTAGTGAGACTAACGAACGTAAATTCATTTTTATTTGTATAGATGTTTAATGTGAAATTATCTGCAGTTATTAAACAGGCTGTATTTTGATTGTTATCATCATATCAGCCAATAATTACACGAGAAGGATGGAAACATGAAACTGTCCTGTTAACATTACATCAAACCTATTTTTATATGAGTAAAGAAAATACTTAAGAAACTATGAGATACATTCGCCAGTTTGAACTTCGAAGCCTGTCGTTTATAATAAAAAAATCCGCAATAACGATAATTGAATAGGTACTTCGGTCAGTCAGATACTAACACCACCTTCAATAAAAATACAAAATAAAAATTAGCATATATTTTGCTATTTAACAGACAAACTTGTAGAACAATAGCCTCTCTCGTTCAAAAGTCAAGTGAAAGCATTCGTTGACCTTAAAAAACAAAACTATTGTCTGTATGAGAAATTTTAAAGTGACGCGGTGACATTACTACAAAGAACTGTTCACATAGGTACATAAACTCATGCTTTTGTCCTATGGCAGTAAGCAAGAATTACAGAGCGTCATCTACGAAGATCCTTAGGTCTATATTTGACTGGGACACCATGATGGCACACCCAGTCGCCGCGACCAACAAAATGTATATAGATCTATAGAGCCTTATACCTATTCACCTGGTGTCCACTTGGTTACGCAACCAATCTGGCGACGTGACCAGCTCGGACGACAGTAGATGTCTATTTTGATACTGTTCCAGTGTGGTGTGTGGACTCGGGTGTCTAGTTTCGTAGGTTAGACACTACGGTGGCGTGACTGGTGGCACCGCCATGGTGTCTCGGTGAAATTTAGCTCTTTTGAAAATGCCATGCACTAATGAGATTAGCATAGCCATGTTCTACTAGGCAACCTGACCTGTATCACCTTAATTGCGTAAAAGAAAAAAACCGTAACTAAAACTCACGCTATTCCATTAGGGAAAGCCCCAGAATTCAAACGAGGACTCCCAAAAATCCCTAAAATTCCATTCTTCGTAAGTAACGTTAAACCAGATGCTTTGGTCAGGATAAACACCTCGTATTCGCTATTTCAACCTTGATCGTTCGACTAAATGTGTTTTTTAACGTAACACAAACAGCTGGACAGTTTGCTACGAACATTTTATTGTGAATAAAAGATTTCACTATCGACTCGACGCCATAAACTCTGTAAAGTTAACACTCTTTTTGACCATTGGCCAAAACAATAAATTAGATTTGGTTTTATCGGTTACATGAGCTAAAACATCTTGTTGGTCAGTTGGATAGTTTTAAAAACGAAACTATTTGTGAATAAGAAGATAATGTCTTCGAATGGAATTCTGAGTCTTCTTTTAAAGTAGCTTGCTGATCACCGCGTTCCTTCATTTATATCTTTTCCTATTCTACAATTAGGACTATATTATTTAGTAAGAGGGACACGCTTGTCTTGTCGAAGCTGGATGTTATTAAGAACCTGTTTTATATGTATTCCTTCGTGTCATTTAACGTAACTTCACTGCACTTCAAAGACCAACCCATTAAAGAAATGTTCTTCTATCTTTCCAGGTTTGCCAACCTAACATTGACTGCACGTTACCAGCTAACAAATGGCGGTATATCGAAGACTTCACCTGCCTCGCTACCAATGAGAAACTGAAGAAAGAAATGAGACTGTCCTTCCCAAGCGGGCACTCGTCATTCTCTGCATATACCATGCTGTATTTCTCCGTAAGTATCAAAAACTATTAATGAGAATATTGTAAGTGGAAGTCGAGACTTTACCTAATGTTAACCTAATGTAGCTCATTGGATAAACGATTGTGCAGCTTTTGAATCACCAAATGTTAACTAAAAATAAGGGTTTACTTAAATATACTGAGAAAAGTTCTACTAGTTTCCAGTCGCAGACGGAGTCTTCCTAAGCTGCGTGCGCAGTCAAAAAAAACCGCTAGAGGCTCCGTTTCTTAGCTCTCAAATGTATGATACTATTACTAAAAGTCTTCTTCAGCCAAAATCACCACAATTTTCATACTTTATCTTCTTCACTTAGATGTATCTACAAAAGCGCTTCAACTGGCGCGGCTCGAAGCTGGTCCGCCACGGGATTCAGTTCATCCTCATGCTGTTCGCGTGGTACACCATCATGACCCGTGTCTCCGACTACAAGCACCACTGGAGCGACGTGCTGGCTGGTTTCAGCATTGGATTGCTGTTTGCTATTGTTATTGTAAGTATATTTTTTGATCCGCAGAGGACTTAACAGGTTGCTGGGGCTCCGGTTCGAAGTGCAGGAGTTGGAACGGGGTGGTTTTTAGTCTGTAAGGGTCTCACACTCCCTCTGGAGCGGGAGAAGTCATTGGATGATTTTCCCCCCTCAAAAAAAACGGAATATTTTTTGATGAATTTGGGAGCAATGTTAACTGTTAAGAATTTCGTATATCTTTACCTGATTCACTATTCGATACATTTGTTGGGATCAGAAAACAATTAACACGTTAAACGCCATGGGGGTCACCGGTGACCGGCGTTAGCGGAGGATTTACCTTCAACAATTTTTTATTGGCAGTCAAAGTCTTAAATAGTCAACTGATTGATTAGTAAATATTGGTCCTTTTGGTACAAGCTTTTGAACAGAAATATTTTTGAATAATTTTCGTTCAGTCGAATGTTGGACGTACAATAACAATTTCCATATTTAAACGAAAATATTCAGTAAAAACACCAAACATTATCAAATCTTAATTCCAGTTCGCCTTCGTGTCGAATCTCCGCAAAAGTCCACGTTCACGGCAGCACAACCACGAGGCTGAGCTTCGAGTCACCAACGGGAACACGAGGGTGACAGTCTGACAGTCATCCCCCACCAGCTCTCGATGTGAAAGTGATGCAGAAGAACTATGATACGAACCACCAACTGTCTCGTGGATCTCCCATGAGTACATCGACGCCTGTCGGCAGTCGCAAGAGTGAAATGTGCACAAACAAAAAATCGTGAGTGCTTACGATATTGACGTTTCAAATTTGAACCTTATGTCTTTTCGACTAGTGTTAGATTGCATTATCAGGCTGCTGAGACTTAAGTCTGTATTAAAATGTGTTTCAGTGACATTTTAAAGTAAATTGAACCTTATGTCTTTTCGACTAGTGGTAGATTGCATTATCAGGCTGCTGAGACTTAAGTCTGTAGTAAAATTAGTCATTTGTTCGACATATCACAAGTTAAAGTCAATTTTAATGCATTTTTAATAGCAAGGCAGTCTTTGTTACCCAATTAATGCAAGGGATTGCAGCTGAAAAGAAAATTTAGTCATATACTAGCAGCTATTGAATGGTACATAGATATTATGTTCCTTTAACAAGTTTGTGTATTTATTTTGTGTTCTATTGCTATGTACATAAGGTATTTTACGCTTCTTTTTGGAGTGAGTTGCAGAGTTTTATGATATTATTAAAATTACGTGGAATTGGTTAGTTTAGTGGTGTATGGGAATGGGTATGTATTGATTTAAAATGTAATTTGACGATATTGTTATGTTCTAAAGTAGAATAGAGTGAGTCTACTTATTACAAGATGATCATGGCTGAAAATATATAAATAAATATGTAACTTATATAAAAAAACCAACTTCAACCCCCTCTTTTTTGTGGTCGGTTTATTAATATAGTAAAACCTTCTCCTAAATGTAACAAAAGCTTTTCTGAAAACCACACCAACGTTTCGAATTTCGTAGAATTTCGTATTTGGAAGATAAAAAAATATTAATATCTACTTTGGCATGACACATAATAAAAAAAGTGAAATATGTATAAAAACCTTATTTTTGAAATTCGTACATAAAGGTCGTTCCCATGCCACCATTAAAATAGCCATATTCTACGTTTAAAAAAAAAGATGATATTCGGATTTGTGCAATGTTATATAGGGTGTTGATAAATCGAGGTTTTGTATATATAAATGTGTTATTATAAATATTGATAGCGGGTACTGAAAGTATTACTTCGTGTACTCGAACTTATATGTTAAGATATTAAGATATTTATTTTTTATTGTACAGACGGCAAATTGAGATATACTTTTTTCAATATAGAAAGGTGTAGTGTGTAATATACCCTAGTCCGATAAGTTACGTGTGTAAGCAACACTACTTCTAGATACAGGCAAAAGTCAACTTTAATATTTAGCAGTCAAAATTTAGTTTTGCTCGAAAGACTTCAATAGCAATTTTAGGATCTTACATTAGGAATCTCACAGTACGTATAGCAGCTAAAAGTGTACTATTTAAATTATATTGAAGAAATTAATATTTGAAAGTACAATTGGGTACTTTTCTTAGTCAAAAACAAAATTATTTCGACTGTTCAATACAATAAAATATATAAAAAAATAATCACACTTTCATTAATTGATTTTATGACTAACTTAATTTTGTATTTTCCAGCAAATGTTTAAAAAATAAGTACACTGTTTGACGCTAAAAAAACGTGACGTCACAATACACAATCTCGTACAAAATTCATAGAAAAGTGTCGTTTTTGACAGTTCGAAAGAAGTATTTAAATTGACTAGTTGGCAAGTACCCAATTTTGATCCGCCATTATTAATTAGACGTAACTTATCGGACTTAAAAGGCAGCTAAATAAGGCTATATTATAGCCAAAAATCTAAGAAGGTAGCCCACAAGATTGCTAATATTTCAATTCTATAGACAGTGTTGCCAGAGTAAAAAAAATGAAATATTTGTATTACTTAATGAAAATGTAATCACATAAGTAAAATAGTATCTTCTATTTTATACGTAATTTAAAAATTAACGTTTGCATTATATTAAGATTGTTATTCGAGTTTCATTGCCTCTTAACTTCGCACGTTAAAATGAACTAACAGCAACTGTATTAAAGTTGATTTCTTATTGTCTTTGAAGTAAAGATTCTTCATGAAAATATCATCCATATACCAAACGTAATGAAGGTTATAATCGCAAATCAAACTGGTATGATTTTCTATTGTAACTCTTAAAACTTCAGTTATAAGGTTCTTGATTGAAAGACAATGAAACTCGAAAATTTGTACATATTTTAAAAAACAGTACAATTTAGATTGCTTGCAGGTACACAGTTATAACTATATTATTACTATATACACACTTAGTGTAAACGGAATACCCCGAGAAACGCCGACAGGTGATGGTCTAAAACAAGATTTATATTCACAAAAGTAAGGAATTTGATGTTTCTTTTATGTAATACTAGCGACCCGCCCTAGCTTTGCACGGGTGCAATATGCATGTATTATACATATAACCCTTCCTTAAGAATCACTCTATCTATTAAAAAAACCGCATCAAAATCCGTTGCATAGTTTTAAAGATCGAATACATCCATAGTACATCCAATAATCCATACATAGGGACAGACAGACGGATAGCGACTTTGTTTTATATGCTACTATGTAGTGAATAGTCGTAATCAACTACTCAGTGCTGAGGGCCAAGCACGAATAACTATCGCATTCGTATCGTAACAGTATCGAGCGAGTTAAGCGTTCTGATTGGTTGGTTCACTTGAGCCGGCCAATCAGAGCGCCGAACGCGCTCGATACTATTACGTTACGATTGCGATAGTCATTCGTGCTTGGTACTCAGATGTTGCATGGATACCACGTAAATAAAAACGATAGAATTGTAAAAACTATATTTTTGTTACTATATTACTAAAAATAAACTGTACTATGTTACTATATTATAAAAACTATGTTTTTCGGGGGCGTTCTGTGTACACTCTGTATATGTCTGTTGATTTAAACAGCTAAGTAAATGAATTGTTATTTTTAATCATAGGTGGCGCTACTGTAACCATTTTTAAGGTTGATATTGTAGTGATCTGTTTTCAAAATGGCTCATTAGCCATCTCAGGTATATCTGTATAATAATTTATAATACTAGCCTTGAGTCGCGGTTTTACCCGCTTCGAATTATGTACTCTCAAGTGGAACACCTATGAAGAATTTGAAAAACATTGATTAATTAAAAACAAAAAGTTTTAATCAAAATCACTTTTGCATATTTTTATAAACAAAATGTATGGTCATGTTTTATGATATTCTTTCGAAATTCATTACTTAAATAAAAGCCAGTGTTTAAGCCATTTCAAAATGGCGTCAAAACTACTTAAAATGCAAAGCAATGCAATTTTTATATTAAAATAGAGAATACATAGGCATTAACTATACAATGTTATTTTATGCTTTACAGCCGAATATTTAAATGTCTACTTATTTTAAGTATTAAAAAATGAGTTAGTTGCACTATTCGACACTAAGCAATTATAAGTGTCGAGTTATGCAACTAAAAAATGCTTCGTATCGAATTATGCAACTAACTAATTTTAAATATTTATAATAAAATTATAACTACTTAATCCCTTTTTACCAATAACACAGAAATATCGGCGGCAAAGTTTATACATAGTACAAGTAATTTATAAGATAATTTACATAAGTTAATATAAAAATACAATATAGTACATAATAATGCAAATATTTAAAATTGTTATAACTTTTACTTGATTCAATTAATAATTGAACTCCTTAGGAGTTAGTGTCAATCGCATTTATTTAAATCTTTGATATTGTTTGCAATTACCTATATTCAACCTTATTGCTATTGTTAAAAGTTGGAAAATAGATTCACCGTAAAAATTTTGTAACATATTGCACAGAATGCATCAATGAGTCAAAACTAGTGCATACAGCTCTACGAAAACCAACCTTAATACAACAGCATCAAGAATAAAAATCTCGGGTATTGCTAAAAGAAGTACTGTCACAGTAAAGTTATCCCAATGGCTTTTTGTTAAGGTTGATTTTTGTAAAGCAAGTCTGTATCTTTTGAAGGCTTATATTAATTTATGTTAGTCATAGTATAACCAGGAGTCTCGAAGACAGTTGTAACGTATTTTTATACTGTGATATAGGCTTTTAAATAAAAGGAAATTAAAGATCTGAGATGCGAATATTATTGTAATTAATCGATGTTAACAAGCTTTGTTTACAGTTTATTCAAGCTATTTTGGACCCTATTGCATAGATATTAGAGTTTTATTGCAAGCAAAATTATGTTGGCATTGTTTTTAGTGTTATAATCTACCTTATTTTGTATACTATAAAGTTGATAGTTAATCATTATAGTACTATAGTATTGGACGACGTCCTGACAGTTCTAAATTCAAAATTGTCCTGCGCGGTAAACAGCAACATTTTATGCCAGATATTAGGTAGTCAATTTTATTATGTACTATGCAATTTGTATGAATGTCGATTAATTATAATAATTTTTACATCTCTGTAACAGGTACCCAATCTAGAAACGTAGCTTTAGGTCCAATTAGGTGCTAGATAAGTGTAATATAGTTGAAAATAATATTTTTACTCATTTTGACACATAGTTGTCACAGTTTATACACTATTTTAAGTAAAATTACTTGTTTATATATGTTTTTTTTAATGTATAGAACTTAAATGCACTGCCCTTACAATTCTCGATTTACTGTAACTTAGAGGCAGCTATTTATTTACTTATTTTTAAATATGGTCAAAAAGTTTATGAAGCATAATAATAAATCTGTATAAAGTGTTCCCATGTTATTTTATTTCTGAATCCCGCTTTGCGAACAGCACCATCTAGTTTCCTTTGCCAGAACTATTAAAGCAGACTTTTCGAATAGTTCTAAACTTAACCAACAGATGGCGTTAGTTTAAGTAGGTGAGTTTTATATCAATACCTAATTTTATTCATACATAGCAGCAATAATATTTACACTGTTAACCGCGTACGTACGCGTTATCGCTAACAAGATGAAATATAATAGTGCAAGGACCTCGGTAACTGTGCTTTTTGCAATGTTTGACAATGACTAACGCCGCCTACTACTTACCCACAGATTAGTAATTTTTATCAGTTTCGAAGCAGTCTTTATCGTGTGAGCCTTGCTAGTGGTTGCGTGGAAGTGAAAATAAAAGTTTTTGCGTAAATAATTATGTTATAGTGTTACAATGGCAGTCGACAGGTTAATATGGAAGATTATACTGGATTTCCTTGTCCTGGCGTGCGGTGAGTCAGCGAAATTTAACTTTGTTATGTTGGCCAAATGTATTGTATCGCGTTAGTGAAGTTTCACACTTGAACGAATTAATCAGTGATCTGTGATTACAGCTGAGATTTTTATCTTTGAGTTTTGTATCTGTCTATTTATTTGTCTAACGTCTACCCACATTTTTGTTAATAATTTTTAAATAAACATTTTTGTATTAATTTGGATTAATTAAATAATGTTCTTTGTTCTGTCTTATTTTGGGGTTTTTATTATACTGGTTTCAACAATTATCAATAAACTTGCGGCTTAAGATAAATTAAATCAATTTAAATTCCAATTGTATTATATAGACAGTTTAATTTAAAAAAAAGATAAAATTGTAATTATAACTTCTAACATAAACTTAACATAGCTTGATGTTAATTTAACTAATGGTAACCAACGTAGTGATTTCCATCACCACCTTGAAAGTATCACTAGGTTTCATAATATTTAGAGTCGAAATTAAATACTTTCTTAGATACCTAGGTACTAAATTAATGCCTACTTAGGTACCTAGGTACTCTAGACTAAAACTACCGTTTATACGGAAGCAAAATGTAATAATGCAGTGATGGAGTTTATAAACCAAACACAATCATGTCAACATTAAATCCTAATTAAGCATTTATTTACATCGTTATCACATCACACCTAAAAATGGCCTTGACGAGACCTCACCGACAATAAGACCAGAGTAATTTTTACTTAATTCAAAGATTTAATATAAAAAAACTAAACATAAGTAGGTACGGCGTATTATTAACTGCTTTAATTTTGTTGCTTATTTTTATTATGTATTCTGATATTTCATTCATACTGCCTCGTTGGTCGAGTGGTCGCAATTGCGACTAGTGCGGTGAAGAGTATCGGCTTCGATTCGGGTCGGGCAAAATATTGAGAGCTTTTTAAAATTATGTCTTTATCCCGTGGGACTTTTAGGATAAAATGTATCCTATGACACTCCCGTAATCAAGACAAATCTAACGATACCTCATACATCAAAATCCATCAAGCCGTTTAGGCTACAGGTGGTCACAAAGGAAAAGACATACATACATACTTACATACACTCGAAAACATTACCCTCCTTCTTTGGCAGTCGGGTAAAAAAATCAGTAGGAGCATAGAGTCTGAAATTGTGCCCGGTATATGGCAATAGACTCACCCCCTATTACATGGGACTCATATCATAAATAGTGAAAAGTGGGTGTTACATTGTACATTCGCATTAAGTGCCTAACGTCGGAATACTGAAACGCTACTCAATTTTAAGTCGCGCTTAAATATAGTTCTATCACTATTAATTCTTTGTAAAATGACAGAGATGGCACGATATTTAAGCACGACTTAAAATTGAGTAACGTTTCAGTATTCCAGCATAACGGGGATAAAAAGGCGCGATATTATGTTATGTGTACATTTCAATGAGATGATACTGATCGTGATGTCTAACCTTTGAAGCAGACTAGATAATAAGTAGGTAATAATAAACCTAATTTTAAATGCCAGCAGACTAACTATAAATAACAAATTGTGTCCGTCTTTATTATGTATTTCACACCTAAACCGCTGAATCGATTTCGATGAATTTTGGCACCGATATAGATGATGAGACTTTATCGACAATTACAGAGACATATTTTAACAGCTTGGATGCACCGATTGCTTCGTTGGCCGAGTGGTCGCTGAAGCGAATGCCGGATAAGGGGTCTCGGGTTCGATTCCCGGGTCGGGCAAAGTATTACTGGGTTTTAAAAAAAATCTCAGTAGTAACACGGAGTCTGGAATTGTGCCCGATATAGGGCAATAGGCTCACCCCCTATTACATGGGACTCGTAACATAAATAGTAAAAAGAGGGTGTTACATTGTACAGTGGTATAATGTGCACCTCTGCCTACCTCTTCGGGGATAAAAGGCGTGATGTTATGTTATGTGAATGCACCGATATGGGACACAATAGAAAATGCATTGTATCTCGGAAGATTAATTTTCATTCAGATGTGACAGATGCCATAGGTAAGAGTGTATCCCACTAAATAGCAGGATCCATTGCGTTATCAGACTGTAATAACACCTAGTGACCTGACCTGCATTAAAATTATATCTCTTAGGCCATAATTCATATCATCTCACGTGATGTTTTTATAATAACTATCGTGAGACATACTAAATTAACTAAAATCGCGCGTTACTCACGTGAATATGCTGAGAAAAGCTCTACTAGTTTCGAACCACAGAGGGGTTCTTCCTCATGAGCAGCATGCGCGGTCGCGGCGACGTCGCGCAGCTCACTGTGCAGCATCTCATGTGGTACCTATAGTGGTCTAGGTTTGATCATAATGAACACATAAATCTCCCTCTGTAACCCGCCTGTTAAGCGTAAACAGTATTCCAAACCCCCTTTATGTAGTGAAAACCAGCTTATAAAGCTTAGATTACTTGCCATCAGTATACAGCTGATGACTAACGTCCAGTTTCTATAACCTATCTATCTGTAGATTTGTTTACTAGAGATAGAATTTTGACACATTTTGTATGGAGCTCATGTCATAAACTGGCCGTAAGTTACTCACTACTAACATAACATAACATCACGCCTTTTATCCTCGAACTTACTACTACTTCATGTTTAAAGTTTTTTCTATTCTGTACCTTTTTGTTCAAACCTTTAGAGTGCAAATACCTTTGAACACCCCCTGACACATCCTAAACCAGCGGTAACCTGTCCCTTTGACATTAACAGCTACATAGACAAATAGATAGATGATACTTTAGTCTAAAGGTCAAACGCTGCCGTTATGATTAGGGACGTCTTCAACCGCACTGCGGTGTTTTATATAACCGCAACTTATTTGTATCCAATAATAGCAGAAATGTGTCCATTAGCGACCAGTCCCTATCTTTTGACTGTCGACAAATTTTTCATAACATCACGCCTTTTATCTCCGAAGGGGTAGGAATAGGTGAACATTACGGCACTTAATGCCACTGTACAATGTAATACTCACTTTTCACTATTTATGTTATGAGTCTCATGGAATAGGGAGTGAGTCTATTGCCATATACCGGGCACATTTCCAGGCACCGTGCTACTACTGAGATTTTTTTAAACCCTTTTCCCGACCCGTGAATTAGTACGACCCGACCCCTTGCCCAGCAGTCGCACTTGCGACCACTCGGTCAATGAGACACAAATTTTTCAGTATAGAGGTATAATATTCATATAACTAGGTTCGTCAGTTAAATACTCGCGAGGTATCTTTTGAATTCTACGTGGGGTATACCGCAGGCGGTGCAAAACACTGAGATTTACTATTTCATTTTATTTTTCGTTTTAAAAAGCTTCATGCACACGTTAATTGTACAAGGTGGGCTTAATGCCATAGGCATTCTCCTCCAGCCAGACCTTTGGGTGATGCAGAGACAAAAAAAATGGTCGATGCAAGGAGCAAGCAATTTTAGTGGCTTGTACAAAGTTTTTTTTCATTGTCTCATTACGCAAGCAAGTAGTGTTATATTCGATTTCCGACTAAGTATTGTCTCTGTAGACTCTTATAAAAACATAAAAATGTGCATATTTATTCATAATATACTATTATGGAACTTGACACAATTGTAGTAATCAATATTAATATCGAGGAAAGCTCTCATTATATCAAATGATAAAAATAATGATAAACCGCAAGATTAGAGGATTATCTTTGTGGCAGAATATATTTGCGCCGTCATAGATTACAATAAGCGGGCATTTGGATTAGTATATTAATATTTCCTGTGTATTATTTCGACTTCTCAATGTATTATAGTATATTATAAAAACACACTTTCATTCATAAATTTGACGATAGCCTCCCTATTCCATGTTCTATCTAATTTTTCTGTGGTTTGACGTAAAATTATGACGACGTCGTAAGTTGTCGATCTAATAACAAAACTCAAAGAAAAGTATCGTTTTTGACATTTCTATAAAAAAGCATTGAATTTGTCTAATTATTTACTACCGTTAATAAGCATGATGTTATTGTGACGCAGAATTTCTTACAAAACTGCCTTGTTGGCCAAGTGGTCGCAAGAGCGACTACCGGGCAAAGAGCCTCGGGTTCAATTCCCGGGTCGGGCAAAGTATTACTGAGTTTTTAAAAAATTCTCAGTAGTAGCATGGAGTCTGGAATTGTACCCGGTTTACGGCAATAGGCCCTCACCCTATTACATGGGACTCATAACATAAATAGTGAAAAGTGGGTGTTACATTGTCCAGTGGCATAATGTGCACCTCTGCCTACCCCTTCGGGAATAAAAAAAGCGTGATGTTATGTTATTTTATGTAATTTCGTACAATGAATTATTGTTATAGTATACCTATCTTTTGGTCAAATTGCAATCTAATATTCGACAAAAGCGGAAAATATCCAATGACCTTGTGGCAGGCTGCACCCCTAGAAAATGGCATTAACGCTATTCGAATGAAAGTGAATAAAAAATCAATGCAAGGACCTTGACACTAACGCACCTACGATAAATTATGGCATATCATAGTTAATGCCAATCCCATAAACTGAACTTTATGAGCCAACCGAATCAAAGCGAACACCACTTTGATTTCGTTGGCTTTTATGGCATTATTTTGTTTTTATGGCATAAGCCGGTAAACGAGCAGGCGGATCACCTGATGGTAAGCAGTTGGCGTCGCCCATGGACACCTGCAACACCAGAGGCGTTATAAGTGCGTTACCGGCCTTTTGGGGATAGGAGTTTGAGGATCGTTGGGGAAGGGGAGGGCCTCCGGTAACCTCACTCACACAACGAAAAAAATATTATGCATATTATAAGCTCTGACACATTTATTATGAATCCTATCTCCAAGTTATAGCCGCGGAAGACTTAACGGGTTGCCGGGGCTCCGGCTCGAAGAACAAGAGTAGGTACGGGGTGGTTTTTAATCAGTAAGAGTCTGACACTCCCTCTCGCCTCGCC